GTCCTGGATCCGGTGGCTTAAAACTCATGCTGGGTGCATGTGTGTGTATGCCCACGATCCTAAGAGGAGACTGGAGGAGAAGGGATTGCGGTGTGACCATCCTCCCTGGAGGGTGACTTCTCGCTTTCTGTCTCTCTGTCTCTCTCTGTCTGCCTGGCGAGCACACGTGCCCTATAGCAAAAATCTCTCCAAGAAATAAAAAACAAAAAACAAAAACAAAACAAAACAAAACACAGTGCTTTGTACATGATAGGGTTAAACATATTATGTAGCTGAATGAAGTTATGGAAAAATTTAAATGGTGTATTGGGTCATTGGAAAAGACATGACACATTTTTGTATAAAAAAACATTGAAAAATATCTTCCAACTTTCCCAATGACCCAATCATTTCCCTCAAGTTAAAAATAAGACAATAGGAAGCCTTGACCCCTGACTCACAGTAGGAGAGAAGAGCTCACCCATTTTCTTTCCAGGCACATTTTTCAGTGGAAAGTAACTGAGACGTGGGGGCTCTGCTGTCCAGAGTCAGTGGATGAACCGAGTGCCACCATTCACAGAGGACTGGCCCAAAGAACCATCAGGTTGGGGAACCTGAGGTCAACAGTATCACAACCATGCCAGGAACAATACACATTTTGCATGAGGATCTGAGCTGCCCCCTCCTCAGCATGCTCCTACCTCCCCATGGAGGGATGTCCATGCCAGATCCACCCGACATTGTGTTGTACAGCCTGGGTTCCTGTGGTATCCTCTGACTTTGCATTATGGGCCACCTTGTAGATAGAGAAAGAATGGGCTTGATAAGAATTAGAAAACCAAATCCTTTACTAGCTTCATCTTAAATCATCAAGAACACCATTAAAAATGCCCCCACCTTTGTCCAGCAGATGGGGCAAGTGGTGATGTAATGCCATTACGATTGTAAAGCCACAAGGAAGTTTCCAAATTCACAACCTGAGGTCTCCTCAGATGCTCATGTCCATGCGCCCATGCCCATATTTCTGGCAGGTTTAGTCTGGAGGTTGACAGAAGCAAGAAGACCCTGTGTAAAATCCTGTTTCATACTCTCTGTCCATCTTATTCTTCTTCCATCTCTCTCTCTCTCTCTGGAAGTTCATAAATAAGCTGTCAAAATAAATGTCCCAGTGTTTTACCTTCTATTCAAGAAGTTGGTCTCACTGATTTGCTTGACTTCTGCCCTCTTCCCAACATGAGCCCTGAGCTGCAAAAGAAAAACAAATTCACATGCCAGTCATGGTCAACCGTGCACAGAAAAAAAGAAAGAAAAGATTCTTACCCAGTTGTCCTGAGCCTTTTTCTTGAAAGTGGCCTTCTGAAAAAGAAAACACACCAAACACTGTATGTTTAGGCCTTTTATGGTCCATTATAAAAGTAAGTAGCTGATGCTTGAGGACTCTGCAATTATCGGGATGCAATTTACCTGCTTTTGGAAGGAGGCCTCTTTTCTCTGCAGTTCATCTTGCATCTCTTCAATTCTTTCCCTGTGGTTTAGAATTGCTTTCATCAGACACAAAGCCCAATATTGAGTGTAGTTTTTAAATAATCTTATGTTCACATAATCCTCAGAATGTATTTTTATATAATTTATCCCAGATAAAAAGCACATTTCACATGAATAAGAGTACAGTAGGATCAAAGGTATTGCTGCATAGTTTCCTTATCCATTATGAAATCCCGGAGTCCTCAGTTGACACAATTTCCTTGCCTATCTCAATATTTCT